GGTGTCACAGCACTGTGGTGGTTAGTTTTAAGTCAACTTGACACAAGCTAATGTCATTTGAGAGCTGGAAACCTCAAAAATCTTATGGAGAAAATGTCTCCTTAAGGCTGGGCTGTAGGCAAGCCTGTAAGGCATTTTCTTTATGAATAATTAATGGGGAGGTCAAGGTCGTTTTGGGTGGGACCACTGAGGGCAGGTGATCCTGAGTTCTATAAGGAAGCAGGTGGAGCGAGCCATAGGGCACAAGCAGCAAGCAGCACCCCTCCATGGTCTCTGCATCAACTCCTGTGGGTTCCTTTCTGCTTGAGTCCCGACCCTAACGGCTTGGAGAACTGTGATGTGGAAGTGCAAGTGGAATAAATCCTTTCCTCCTCAGCTTTCCTTTGGCTATGGTGCTTCATCCCAGCAGTAGCAATGTGAAGATGACAGCCAAGGCCGTACTGAGGGGTGACACAATGCATGCATTAGTTATTCCTCTTGTGGCTGACCTTAAAACAAAACAAACAAACAAAAAAACCCCACTAAGAATGGAACTTAAAGTCAGCAATGTTTATTTTCTTTCACAGCTTAGCTTTGCATTCCATCCTGGTCCTGAAGGTATGGAGGCAGCAGGAGTTTGAGGCACTTGGTCACCTGCACCCACATTCAGGAAGCAGAGACCCATGCTGGTACCCAACTCACTTTCTTTTTATTCAGTCCAGGACCCCAGCCCAAAGGGTGGAACTAGCTACATTTATTTTGAGTCTTCCCTTCCCAGTGGACCTAACCTAGACGACGTCACAGGTTTGTTTCCATGCCCATTCCAGATGGCAACCAAGATTAACTGTAACAGTAGATGAATTAAAATGGATAATAATTGCCTATAATTCTACTATGGTTTGGAAGAAAACAAACAGTTATATAAAATAGAAACACTCTATCTGTTATTTTCTAGAACTTAGCAAAGTGATTTTGAGCATTCATAGATATTTTTTTATCTGAGAAATAGACTTACGGAGGGAAGAACCTTTGACTTAGTTTTGAATCTCCATCCCACCTGCAGTCTGTCCTGTCCGGACAGAAGCACAGACTGCCTCCCTCGGAGTCTTCGTGAATGCTGGCCGGAAACATGTGTACTGCAGGCATCATTTGGAAAGCCGCAACATCTCGGAGCCTCTGTGCTATATAAATTTTCTCTTAGCACTCAAAATACACACAAAATTGTGCAGGAGAGAAATCGGGTTTTGTTTTCACTTAGTCATGGGAATTTGCTGGACATAAAAGGAAAATTCTTCAGTTTTCCAGGTAAAGGTGTCTTTAGAGGAGAAACCATCCGAAGGGTGGTCTCCACTATTGTTCTGCTTTAGATATTTTCTTAATGTTAGTACATAAAAATAAATAAAATTTTCATCCCAGTAAGCAATCACTAGAGAATAAATTAAACTGTATTTAAAACTTACCAAGTGTTGCCAAGCAACTGCAATTCATCATTGTTGTGTGTGCTCATCCACCAAACACACCATGTTTGTGTACTGTCGTCCCCATGAGGAAACTGGACTGGGGTCAGATTTTGTGAATTTTATAGACTTGGTTGTTTCCTTTTGTGGATAGCAAATAAAACTGAGATTTCTTTTTTTTAATTAGATTTTTAAGGAATCGAGATAGCTTGCCCCAATATTATTGCTTTCCTAGAGGCATGTTACAGTTATGACTATAAATAGACTTCTATTATCAAGTTTTATTTCCCAAAGGACAGAGAAATTCATCACTGGCTCTCCCTTGTGTGAGCTTAGTTTTTGGCAATATGTAAACCTTGAGAGTCTGTGCCCACTGTTTAGACTTCAGAAAGCGAACCTGCAGTATGTAAACCTTGAGAGTCTGCATCCGCTATTTAGACTTCAGAAAGCAAACCTTGATGTTCTAGAAGTTATTTTTTCTATTCTACAAATTTTCTTCAGAGAAATTCATGCCCTAGAATGTGAAGACATTGGGTTGGAGCAGCAAAGAATGCCAGTGAGATTTATCGAATGCAGATCCACAAGGACAGGGGACAGTTGTGGAAACATAAAGAAGTGTAAATCACAGGTTTAGAGGTGGGGTATTCAACCTTCCCTCCACCCGATTACTAAACAAATGTCTATTGAACAGCTAGTAGACAGCAAGGTCCTTTCTCCGCTCGGTGCGGATGATTCAGGGCTTGGAGAGAATTTATGATTGCCGGCTTGCCGAGCATTTCCAAGGGGAAGAGACAGGCGTGGGAGTAAATATACAAAGTCACCAGGGTGGCAAAGTGATGGAGGTCACTATGTGGCTGAGCCTGGGAGAGAGTGCCCTGTGTCCCGTCTGTCCTTCCTCCTTCAACCTGTGCAGACATGGGTCACGGCTCACGTCCCTGCCCTGCTCCACACCTTCTTCCTGTGTTACTCAGAACAAACACGCTCACTTCTGTCTGTCCCAGCACCACTTCTCACACTTTCTTGATCCTTCTCCTACCTGACGTTCTCCAACTATGCCTCGCATGCTCCTGCCTATGGAATTTTCGCAGCGCTGTCTGTCTTTCACGAGAAATTTGTTTGAATCAGGACACAAAGGAGGTATAGGGAATAGTCACAGTATTCAATTGTCCAAGGATGTGTGTGTAATTGGAAGAAGATTTAAAAAAAAAAAAACCAGTACTTAAATGAGAACATTTTTCCAACTTAATAAAATGCATAAGCCTGCCTATACAGAAAACTCAATAACCTCAGAACAATAGAGGTTGAAAGAAATCCAGATATTATTAGTACATGGTCACTAAACTGCTCAAGTGGGTGATAAGGAACAAAAACTGTAGAAGTCAAAAGCTGAGGAAAGAAAAGCACGCATGTCCTGGGGGGCAAAAGTAATGAGGTCAGCAAATCCCTGTCTGAACACATGGAAATGAGAAGATAGAATAATAGTTTTAAAGAATGCAAAAGAATGAATGCATAATTTAAAATTCTAGTCCTGGTGAAATATCTTCTAAATACAATAATTAAATAAAGTTCTTTCAATCAAATATTATTGTGATCCAAAGAGCTGGACAAGTATTCTGTTAAAGGAGATAATGGTAGAGGATACAGAAGAGGTCAACACACACACAGAAGTGTGGATGGCACCACATACATGGGCTGAAGTCCCAACGGTGCTTTTCATTTTTTGAGGGCTTTTTTTTCCTCTCCATGTTTCCTAAACACATTGATTACTAAGCTATCGAAATTACTGATCTAGTCTTCTATTGAATGTGTGTTATTTATACTATCTAAAATATTTTAACTTTATGCATTATAGTTTTCATTTCTGTGTTTTGGATATTGCTCTTTATTACATGTTCATGACTCTTCTCAGATGTCTAACCATGCAGAAATATTTCAGTATCCACTTCCTTATCCCTCTTGGCAATTCTGACCTTCTTGGTTCTAGAAGTAACTTGACCGTTTACTCCTTCCACTGTGTGCCATGCTTCCAGCCTCTGCATTCTTAGTCACTCCTGACGAGAGTCTGGACACTGCAAATACCATGAGACTGTTTCCTGAATGTTTTGAATTTCAATGGATATGAATCTATATGTATTGTCAACACCCTCACAATGTCACAAATCACGAATGCCCTTTGATACTCGGTGATTCGTCTCTGTGATTCATTCAGGCTTAGCTTTAAAAAATTAGATGGCAAGACTGGAGGAAACCGGTGGTGGAGCTTGTCACCTCTTACTGCAGCCATCTCTGCCGAACCTTTCACCTAATGGCCATGAATCATAAAGGTATTTCATTCTGGCTGGAGAAGCCACCTTTCCATCATACCTGTTGGATTCTGGACAGTGTTATTAGTAAACTTCATGGTTCTCATCCTGGTCAGCTGTAGCTCTTCTGAGCATTTCTGCATATGTATGAAGTTTTTCCTTTGTGGAGTTCGCATATCTTCAGTACTTTGTCTTATGAACTACAATCCTTTACCCATCTGACTGTTCCATCCTCTAAACCAAATGCCCTTTTATCTCCATTAATTGGTTAGTAACCATCTGAGCATTCCCCGGCATGCCACAGCTTAGAGATCTTAGAAACACTGGTGCCTATTGCAGGGCTCATTGAATGTCCTGTCTCAGTGGATTTTGTCATTCAGTGCTGATGTCCAGCCAGATTGGTTAAATCACCAAACCTTTGAGCTATCTATGGTTACATTAGAGATTGTACCAAAGTTTTGAACTATCTATGGCTATGTGAGGGCTTATCCCAAAGCTTGGTCTACCTATGGCTGCATTAGAGATTGCACCAATGTTTTTGTGACTTGTAAAATAACATTTGTATCTTTCAGGATTTTCCTGCCTTGGATATGAGGGTGAGCTATCCGAGTCTCCTGAACTGAGTGGTCTTAAAAACTGCAGTGTATTAGGCAGGATTGTGGCCATCTCAGTAACTGCCAGGAAGAGGATCTGCCTGCACAGTCCTCCACAAACCCAATGGTTTACAATATGCTGCTGTTGTCGAGTGCTCTGTGGTCCTGTTCCTAAGATGGCTCACACAACCAAGCTTACTGGTTTCCTTTAGAAAAAGAGGGAAGGAGCAGATCAGAAAGAATGTATCAAGTGAAACCACAATCTGATTTCCCTATGACTGTCAAAGGCATTGCACACATTTGCCTCATCGTAGACCCTAGGAATAAGTCTTTATGTCAGCCATGCTCAAAGGAATTAGCTTTGTGGATAACCAATACCATTTATATTGTATAACTGGGTAGTATGTATCAGTGACTCTGAGAGACAGGTGCAGGGATGGGTGGGAAGATGGCTTGCTATGTATGAATGATGGGGATCCAGCACTTGATTTTTGCATGGTGCTAGACTCATGCTTGGCACCATTTTTCCTAAGGAGAAGCAGGGAAAAAATTGAGAGCAGCTCCAGGGACAATTCTACTTTTCCAAGCTCATGGCAGTCCTGCTTGGAATAGGGACTCCCTGTGTCTCTCACCTGGGTTTCTCTGGTGCCCTTAGTATTCAGGAGTCAGTCAGAGAGCTTGCTAAATAAACCTATACACATACCACAAAGCCCAGTTTTACCACAGAACTTACGGTGAGTTCCGAGTTTATCACACACTTAAAAAGAAAGGGTTGAAAATGAGAACAGTTACATTCCTGGTACCGCATTGCTTCGGGCTCTTCATTGTTGTTTCTCAACAGCAGCATAAATTAGACGTGTGGGTACTGGAACAAGGGTTGTTTGTGCCCACGTTCTAACATGTGCTAGCCACAGGGTGAGCTTTGAAAGACCAAGACTGAGCCCAAGCCGTAGGTGTAGTTTATCCCTTTCTGAAGCAAAAACTGAATCTGAGTTCTGTTTCAAGGCTCCTGGAGTTTTTATTTACACTCCCGCACTTGGGTGAGCAGGCCTTAGGATGGCTGCTGGGTTTATTTGTATGTGTCTTCTGTCCTGTAACATGTCCCTGGGTGACACATGGGAGGTGTTTGCTGTAACAGGCTCTTAGTCTGTTCTATGCATGGTTTCCGTACCCGTCGGACTGTGGCGTTCCTGGTGGCTGAAGCGGCTCTACAACTGTGGATGTGCTGCTCTCATTGTGACGGTTACTCTGATATATTTGGAGCCACTGTTTCCAGCATCACTGTTGAATAAGGAACCCTTAAGGAACAATGGACGACTAACATCTGTTGTCCTACAGCAAATTAACATCGTATCCTGCAGTTCATCAGTCAGTCAGCTTTCTGGCGTTAATTAACGGGGAAGCTCAGGAAAGGAATTACTGGGTGTTCTAGATGTGTGCTTACAGCTGTACTGACCCTGAAACTTCATTGTTCACATTGTCTCCTTTGTATTTAAACTGAGCGGCTAGAATCCATTGATTACTGCCATAATTCCTTGGGAGGATTCATACCACTTCGTCTTGTCTGAGAGGCGTTCTTTTTGTGCCCTCAGCTGAGTTGCCAGCAATATAGAATGATGAAGTCTCACACCGAGCCGTACCACTTTTGTGTTCCAAACACTTCTTCAAAAGCGCCTTCTTCAAGTAGAAAAAGGAATAGGAGTGTTGGCTCCCATTCATGCCAGGTATGAATTCCTCTTCCGTGTGATGTCCAGGCTGCATGCCAACGGGTCTGAGGGCATCAGTGGAAAGAAAAACTGTAACTCTTACCCCAGTTTTCAAGTCTTAGCAATCGCAATCCAGTGGGAAATGTGGGGCCTGTGGCAAGCTGTATACATAAATCTCATAAGAAAAGATCAAGGCTTTGGAAATACATAGAACGCTGTGTTCCTACGGCAGATGCCGAAACCCTGGGTTATCAGCCAGGGATTCTAACTTGAGACTCTCGTGTGAAGAAGTGATCAGAAAGGCCTGTGTCTTGGGGAATCGATAGCACAGCACCATGATGGCTGAACAATGGTGGTGGCAGGTGTGAGTCCTCCACTTACCAAGCTTTGTAGGCTCCCTTGGGAGCTACTCATTAGGCTGCTCTTCCTGCCGAGCTACGACTGCTTCTCAGGCTCCCTTCCACTCAAGTGTATCTCCCCTTACTCTACTGTAATTACATCATAGATATTCTTACTTTATTGTGATGTTTGGCAGCGTACCAAATAAAGGCTTTCATCAGTTCGCATTGTACCCTATGATATTCACCTCATCAAAACCCTCCTAGGCCCTTCATCATCTATTGCCGGTCCCTTTCTCATGTGTGTTGTGTGTGTATGGTTGGGGGGGTTCAATTTTCACCTCCATGGAAACATAACATAGGCATCTTTAGCCTGGCTATAATACTGCTCTTAGTAAGGACAAGAAGACATCAGCCCCATTGCTCTGACCCATGTGGTACCTCAGTCCTCGGCCAATGCTTTTCTTCTTGGGTTCCCATCACTCCCTGAAAAATGTCAGTGATTAACACATTTAGTAGTGTTTGTTTAACACGCATATAAACAAATACAAATACACACACAACTGTGCTTTTAAACTTCTTTCACGATTTAAACATGGCGATTTCCTTAGTGTCTTTGATAATCATTACCTGTGAAATAACCTTCTGGATAATTTTAAAGCCAAATTTAATTTTAATGTGAAGTCATAAGGCAAGATTGCAGAAAGGAAGCCTTACTTCAGTGACAGCCCGGAGAAACGATTTTCCAATAGGATTCTGTAGTCAAACACTTAATTAGAGCTGTACCAGGTTCTCAAAGGTTATTACAGAAATGTTCAGCAATGACCTAAGTGGCAAACTCTACAGAATATAGTGCATGGTTTCTTGACCTTTCTCATTCGTGACTTGTTTTGCACCCAAGGGGTTTTTATGCAAGCCTGAGCGTACAATTGCAAAAAACATGTATACAAATAAGACATATATTCATAATAAATCATGAAGAGGCTTATTTCCAAGCAATTATTTGGCACACATATAACTTTGCCATTTATTGAAGACAAGCAAATTTGCATGCTAATAAAGTAAATATGCCTGTTTGTCTAGCATAATATGATTGAAATGTAAAATAATTTGATACTTGCATGCTGGGAATGATAGGTAAATATTAAAAGTCCTGTTTGGTATTAAAATATGTTTCTAGTGTATACAAAGTAAAATATTTCAGTGAACAGCCAATAATAGTCTTCAGTTTGATTTGTGACGTCTCAGTGTTCATTGTTGTCACATGATGTGATAGCACAGACAGTGCAAGGAACACATGTTTAGAATGTAGGATGCAGTAGAATATATTCCTGGTACCAGCATTTTTGTGACCCCCACATTCAGCTACATGATCTGCAGAAATGATATCCTTACAGTTTTCTGAATCTTGGATAGAAAGATTATTCATATGACATTCATAAAAGATCTCAAGAAATGTTATATTTTAAATGAGAAAGACTACAGAAAATACAATGAAGAGAAGTTTAGTATGTAAAAGCCACATGCTTACATCTAAACTGCTCTACCAGAAACACACGCTTCCATTAAGACACAGCTGCTTTAATTGGAAACTGGAAAATGGTGTTCAAGTCTTCCCTGAGTGGTTGATTGCAATGGCAGCCAACTGTTCTGGACAAGGGCAATGAGCTGCCCAGAAAGAACTAGAAGCAACTAGAATTAATGTGGTTAATTGAGGAGACAATGCTACAGGTGCTCTGACTTTGGAAAGTTATGGCCTACACAGTGTGATATTCCTGCTTAGCTCACCTGGGTTCAGTTAGCTGTCTACTGGAGCAATAACCATTTGCTGACAGCTTTGCCTTCTCATTCCTATCCCTCACCACTACTGTTCCTGACAATGCTTCTATATCTGAGACATTCAAAGGCCCATTCTCCAGCTCTGGACCAGCAGTTATCAAACTCATTTCATTGCCTCTCCATCAATGTGCCTGGAATTTCTAGCTTTTTCCCTATCACGTTTCAGAGATGTGGCCACGGACACTAACAACATCTTTGCCTTTCAATTCTTTTAATATCTTCTTTTCCTCTTCTCTCCACTTCTCATCTTCAATCAGTAGATGGATGAAACCTGGAACTTTGTTCCGAATCCTACTCGGGTAACACCTATTTCTCACAGCAGTTATCACCCACTGCTCAGACTTGGCTGACATGTAGCCTCAGCATTTTAGCTGACTGGATCTATTTCTTACTCAGGGAGTTAATGCCTTAGTGTGAAGAAGCTGGCCACTGGTAGGTAAAAGCCAAGGTAGGAGGCTTGCAGATGGGAGCATGTTTCCTATGGGAAGTCATGCACAGATCAAAACAATTGCCCCATAAGCATGGTTTTCTATGAATACCTGACAAAATAAAACTGAGGAAGAGGTCAAGTGGTCACTTTCTTGGGTGGTCAGAGCAGGAGCGAGCAGCAAAGAGCATGGCTTGCGGTTGATCCTCATGGCCTTTGGGTAAAATGACAGGGCAGCATTAGCTGTGTGGAAATAATTAAATTAATGAAAGTGGGTTAAGTTAAATGTAAGAGCTAGTAGTAATAAGTCTGAGCCATCAGCCAAACATTTATAATTAATATTAAGCCTCTGAGTGATTATTCAGGAACTGTTGGGCAGGAGAGAAATATCCACTTACAGTTCTCTACTAAGATTTCTTCAAGGCCTGGGAACCATCAACAAACACTCATACATTCTCCTGTTACCCTAGATATAGTAAGAAACAATTATTACATTCTAATGTTGACTCCAAATACAAAGACTCTACTAGATTCCCACTCTAATTATATTTCTGTTTACTATTCTCACCTAAATCTGATAGGGCTCACAGCCTGAAGGCATCTGCAGACTCTTCAGAGCTCAAGTGATAACACCTGCTTCCAGTTTACTATTTTGCAAATAATTTTATTATGCCATTTTGATGAAAAGTGTTATGACAGTATTCTTCTACAGTTATTTGAAACGGAATTGAAGGAAGGACACTAGTTATTTCTGGCTCCTTAGCCCTGACATAACCACACAGAAACCATATTATTTAAATCACTACCTGGCTCATTATCTCTTGCTTCCTAACAGCTAGCTCTTAAATTTTAATTTAACCCATTTCTAGTAATCTGTGTATCACCATGTGGCTGTGGCTTACCAGGTTAAGTTCTGTCTGGCTCTGGTGGGGCTACATGGATTCTCTCTGACTCCACCCTTCTTCCTCCCAGCATTCAGTTTTGTTTTCCCCACCTACCTAAGTTCTGCCCCTGTACAGGATAGCAGATATATCTTCCTATTTTTCTCTTTGATTAAAAATAGAGTAAATATCTACAGTTATCATATACTTACTGCTATTCTCCATGGCAGCAAGTCGAATAAAGTAAATATGTGACTCCCTAGGATTGTAATAGGAAGGGTATAAAGTAGGTTTATTAATACTCTCCTGTTCTGGGTAGAGGAAGCTTGGGTAAAATGATTTTCAAAAGGGTTCCTGCTCTTTCTTTAAATGTGTACATAAATACATTTGTGTTAGTCTAACTGGCAGACATGTTTGCACACCAAATATCCCATATTCCCCTGAGTCCTAAAAGAAGCTCTGTATATAATGACACTGGAAAGCACAACATCAAATAATCTCACATACCTGAACACACAGATTTCCCACAGGAAGTGCTCTCAATGGTTAAGTATTTCCTTATATTTAAAAATAAGCTATTAAAATCCTACAGTTCAATAATGACTCCATGTGGTTTCATTAAAACTCACATTTTGACAAATTCTCAGAAGGCCAGTACTTCTTAATTAAAGGATGCTCATCCCAAGGTCGACCTTCTCTGTGACTGGGTGGCTAAACTTGGATTGGTAGAAATCTGTTTTTGACTATTTATCTTTCCAGCAGGAAAGTGAATTATGGAACCATGTCCAAGAAATTGACTCTGCATGTTAATATTCGAGAGTCCTTTTAATAGTAAAAATTCATGACATCTACTTTGTTTTATGCTATATTTAAAATAACAGAAATTACAAAGAGCTTCATCTCCCTGGCTGATTAACAGCCTCATTTCTGAGCTCTCCAGACTGGATGCCTCAGATACCAGACATGCCACACCAATGACCCTGGCATTCATTTCCAAACTGATCTACAGAGTCCTGCAGATAGCTGACTTCTTCCAGTCTGGGATGAGTCATGTGTTGCCTTTGCTTAATGCTAAGGGGACCATGCTCACAGAAGCAGCCTGATGTTAGTAAATTTGAAGTCAGCAGAACTTGATGTGTATTCTGCCTCTCCTTCACCCTGGCTGGTTGACCGTGTGTCACGTGGTCTCCCCAAGGTTCCATTTAATTTGGGGGAGCAATGTCAATCTTTCTGTTTGTGGGTAGAAAACACAGCAGATTCTAAGATCCACTGAAAAAGTTCAGTTCCTGACAAGTAACCTTCTGCCAATAAAGGCTATAACTTCAAGTTCTATTAGGAGAACAACTCACTGTGTATACGATACGTTCTACTGATCATCCATTTAAACATAAACTAACGATCAATTCTGGAAATGTCTAAAAATTGAAGCAATGAAGTAGTTGCTTATATTTTTGGACCTACCCAGAACCTCGGAAGTCCAAAAGCAGTCTGTTATCTCTTATTATTGGTGTATAACACTCATACTTAGTTCCGTTACGAATGTGTAAACAACAGTGGTGTAGGAAAGTCATCTACCTCATAGCCAATGAGGAGGCAGAACAAGAGGCAGACATGGCCAGGGACAGTGCTACTCCCAAAACACATACTACGAATAAATGAATGAGCTCATTAGAGAACCTAAGTAGGGCTTGGGGGTGAGCCTAGAGAATCACTGCACCCTGATACTGACCTGACATCTGACCTTCAGACATTTCTTGATTTCTCAATTTCTCAGTGTCTTCCATTTTTAAATCTAGGTTGGATTTTTAAATCTAGGTTGGAAATCCCATGGTCTTCTACAGTTCTGAGGATCCCTGATTCATCTAAGGATGCTTCCTTGTTGGGACATTAAAAGGAGTTAGGAGACTAAGCCTCCTGAACTCCTGTTTCCCATCCCAAATCTAACAGACTTTGGAAAATTTTCTCAGCTGTGTATCAGCCAAAGACCATCCTATAAATTAGGGAAGTCCTTATTGAAACCAAATGCTCTTTAAGGAACGAATGTGATACTATCCAGAATATCTATATATCTCTATCTCTATATCTATCTATCTATTTTTCTATCTATCTATTTTTCTATCTATCTATTTTTCTATCTATCTATCATCTATCTATCTATCTATCTGTCTATCTATCTGTCTATAATATATATATATCTGAGGTCAGTCTCTGGTGAAAAAGACCTGGAGAATCTTCAGACTTGGCATAAAAGACAGTAGAACAGGGTACTCGAAATCAAGCTACTTGGGGACATCAAGAAATGGCAGAGAAAATGAAGATGCAATGAAAGACAAAGTCCTGCCCTCTTTCTGTTGACCTGTGAGGAAGTCATCAACTTGTAAAAATCCTTTCTTCCTTCTCTACGTTGTGAGCAACAGTTAACACCCACCCATAATAACCCAGAAAAGATTAACATGTAATAGGTACTGTTGTGTCAATGTGACCTAAATACCCAAGCATAAAAGGAAAACAATTGAAAGCAACAACAAAAAGAAAACATAGAGGAAGGCAGGGCAGCTTATTGTTCCCTTGAGATCTTGATTCCCAAGGGCCCAATCTACGCCTTTTAAAAATCCATGTGAATGAGCAGGACCTCATGGATGCCAGAGCAAGTGAAAGAGTTTCGTCCACCCCATCACCAACTAGGAAGAAGAAAACAAAATAGAAAGTAATCAGGGATAAGATAACTCCAAGAACCTGCCCCTATCACTTCATTCATCCCTTCTGCTAGCTCACAAATCCTCTCCAAACAGTATACCTTCTGAGAACCTGCTTTGCAATCATGAGTCCAAGCGGGGCATTTGTGTTCAGACCATAGCACAGCAGAATCTGCAAAGTAAACCTTTCTTAGACAAGCAGAGAAGATCCAGTTTCAGCCAAGCAGATTTCAACGAAGAAAAAGAAACCAAAGAGACCCGAGAAGAGGTGGTGTGGGATTTTGGTTGGGGTATAAAACTCTGTAGACAGGAAGGAAGTTCTGACTGGTGACAACAGGAAGAGAGTGTTGGGAGACATGTTCAGAAAGATGCCATCAGGGCTTGCAAGGTGGGTCAACAAATAGAGTCACTCGCTGCTAAGCCTGATGACCCCAATTTCATCCCTGGGACCCACATTGTAGAAGGTGTCCTCTGACCTGCCCATGGCATGGATGAACACAGAAACACGCATATGTACAGGAAATAAACAAGGAATACTATTAGACTCAGGGGGATCTTAAATATCATATGAGAATCGTTGGAGTTTGTTTCCTAGGCAAAGGCATGAGGGAAAGGAGAGAGAAGAAAGCAGTGTTTCAGAATGGACATACTGACTGAGAGCTGTGCATGGTTACTGACAAATTAAACTCAGAAGTTTGGCTGGCCTAGGAGAGGTCCCTAACATGTACCTCTTTCTCATCTAGGCTGCAGAAGTGTTGCTAAAACATGGAGCCAATGTCAATGTTCAGGATGCAGTCTTCTTCACCCCCCTGCACATCTCAGCCTACTACGGGCATGAGCAGGTAGGTCTAAACTCTGAGCTACAGATGCTGGCGGGCTGCTGCAGGGCCTGCTTCAATGAAAGGATGTTTAAGGTGTCCTTTGGGGCTTCTGCATAGCTCAGTGATAGATAGAGGCTTCGTCTCATATGCTCAGAGTCCTGGGCTTGAACCCCAATATTGCATGGGTAATTTGTACAATATTCTCATCAGCTCCATTTGTAGGTGCTTATAGACCCACATGAACATCCCAAGACCTGGTCATTCATCATCACTGCCTTGCTGCAGGAAGGAGACACTAGTGTATGCATTATGGTTTGCAGAAATGAGAATCGGGCAGCCTGAATTTGGGGGAAAATGTTTTCCAGTTTTATGGCTGTCTGTAGTCTATATAGTGCCTCTGATATTCATTTCTTAATGGAAAAAAATATTTATGATCTGAACTTTCTAGGGATGCCTTTACACAAAAATAGAGTTGCTTAGGAGACACACAATAAATACCCCTGTTAACATACCAATAGAGTAGGCACAAGACATACCACAAAGGCCCTTTCAGTAGCTCTCTGAAACAGTTGTCTTTCAGAAGCAAATTCCTCTTTTACCCTCTCAGGGGATGCTAGGGGCTGAAAAACTCCCTCCTGAAAGCCCTGCCTGCTCTGGCTCTGAGCCTGTGACTTGCCTTAAAAGGAACTTGAGTTTGTGAGCAGGTTTAAAATTTTCAGGAGCTTGCCTCAGGTTTACTGTCAGGCCTGATGGTTCTCCAGGGTCTGTCTGTAAGAGGGGGAAGGAAATGAGAGTCAGTTTGTGGACAAGGAAGTGGCCTGAGAGGCCCAAGTCACAAAGGGAAGAGCTGAGAAAGCCAGAACCTCCCAGGAGCCTTTCAAGTGAGAGCCTGAAGCTCTCTGGGAGCATAGCTCCTAAGACATATTTCCTATTTGGGGTGTCATTTGCCCCCAGTTACCAAGGCAACATCCAAAACTCCACGATGTTTTCTGACTCCAAAGTCTGTTGATTTCCCACCTCCGCA